AAAAATTTTTATATTTTTTATAAGGTAAATGAATTTATAAATATGGAATTCCCATTTGTGAAAGCCAAAATTCCTATCATGAAATGCAAAAATTGTAACATTAATAAATTATCAAGAGAATTTCCCAAGGATGTTATTAGTGGTGATTGTAAGCACATTCCTGGTTTTTGCTTGAAGTGCGTGGTAACTTATTTAAATGCCTCAAAAACAAATAAATGCCCAGAGTGTAAAGCTCTACTAAATCAAAAAGGAATTAAAAGATTAAATTCAAATTGGGAAAACGCATCTTTTATGATTAAAGTTGACAGTATTTCAACATTAAATAACCCATCAAATAATCAAAGTGGTGGTGGATATTTCTATGTTGTAATGATGAATGGAACTGTAATCACATTAAGCTTGGAAAAAGTCAAAACTGTTATTGGCCTTAAGCGAGCAATTAAATCAGAAACAAATTTGGAAATTAGCAAACAAAAATTACTTTATAATGGCAATGAATTAAAGGTAATCAATCACAATTACAATTTGCTCATTTCAATTGTTTCCTTATAATAATAATAACAATAACAACAACAATAATAATAATAATAGAATTATACTGTGAATCAATGTGAAGTTACTGAAGTTGCATTAGCCGATTATGATATTGTTGAAGAGAGTCATCTACAATTAATAGTATTACTCTATTCAATCACAAAAGGTCAATCATTTAAAAACTTGACATTTGATTTGCATTGGGGATTTCCTGATGGTGAAAGGGATTATTTGGATGGAACTTGTCTTTTGTATCGAGACAATTTTTTCTATGAAAGAGTTGATTGGGCTAATAAATCACACAGCCATATTCCAAATATATTTCATTCGGGTGATAAATTGAATTTTGCAACTTTAACAGGTACACAATTAATATGATTAATTATCAATTATTATCATTTATCAATTATTATTGCTTATGATTTTTTTTTTGCAATACAATATAAAAGGCCACCATTGTATAAAAGCAAACTTAGCTGATTTACCACCAGAAATAACGAGATTATATTTTATATTGTCATCGTGGAATGCTCCTAATATTGGACATTTTCCTAATCTTAGTTTTAAATTGTATGATACAGAAAAACCTGATGATCAATTGTGTAGTTGTAAATTAAAATATGCTGCTTCTTCCAGTGCTATAATAATGTGCGTTGTTATTAGAAATATATTCAACAACACTTGGGATATATTTGAAATTGGAGAATCATCAACCGGAAATGCTAAAAATTATACTTCAATTAAATCTACGATTTCGTCTTTGTCAACTTTTTTCAAATAGTATTTCTTGGATGTTACACGAACATGTAAATCACATATATATATGAAATAAATTTTGTACAAAAAATTGATATATATATTTAGATCTTTTTTCTAAAATAAAAACAATAAAAATGCCTGATAAACGCGTGACAACTTTACCACCACATGCCCCTCCAACAGAAAGTACAAGAATACAATACCATCCTACACTTAGTCAAATCCAGTCTGACTCAGTATCAGCTTTAGCTGACAAGTATTGGAGGAATAGAGATGTCAAACTCAGAAAATGGTCACCAGAAGTAGTAGATAAAATTTATTCCGAAGAATTGGAAGAAAATAATTTTGATGTTAAAAAATTAATGTTATTAGAGTTCAGCCAATATTTGGAAAATGTATGCGTTTTTTATTTTGAAATTATTTATATACATATATATAAATAA